GGGCAGGTAGGGTCGCGGCGCTCCGCTCCGCGGTTCTCTTCGCGTCCGTGCCCGCTGTCTGAGGTCCCCTGGAGACTCATCGGACCGGACAGGCAGTAACAGCCCTGGGTGAGGCCAGCGGCCCATCCCTCTCTAGAAGCTCGCGCCAGGCCTCGGTCGGTGAGGGAAGCTTGTGAGGGCTTGGGGAAAAGTTATTGTAGAAAGCATTTTAGCTCGCTGTCGTTGGTGTCCGCTGAAATCTGTGGTAGTGCTACGCTTAGGACTGATGCCAATGTTCTGCTAGTCGTGCCTAGGTGCAGCTTTGTACCCCTTACAAAAAGACCAAGTCTCCTGAGCCTGCCTGTGCCTTGGTCTCAACTTCTTTAACGTTTCAACTTTTCAGGTGGCTTCATCATGGATGTAACTGTTGCTGAGTATATCCGAAGAACTGTACTAAAAATCCCACGAGATGAAATCAAGACAATGCTACGGAAATGGGGCTTTCTCTCTGAGACACAGCTGCAAACCATAAACTTCCATCAGATAAAGGAGAACATTTCTCAAGATGTTGTTCAACTTTGTGAGGTAATCCTTTCCTTCGGGAACTGCCTGTCAGTGACATATAGGACACATGTTGAAGCACCATCAAAAAAACATTCTTATGAAGAAATGAATTTTCTTTGGCCAGAACACAGCGTCAAATAGCAGTTTGTAGTCTGGAAAATGTAAAGCTGAGCTGGTAATACCATCAATTTTGTCTGATTGATAGGAGTGCAGGATCGACCCTTACTGAGTATGGAAGTACATGTTTTGAGCTCTAAGTTGCACAAGGTAGATAAAAGCTCACTGTGTTAAACCTTTAAGAAATGGGTGTATTTCTAAAGTGTAAAATAAAGGCATTGACTGAGATGTCCACTCATTACATAGTGCTAATTTAAATCTATTTGGTATGAGTAATGATAGCAGTAGTTTATATCTTTTAGACTTTTCAGGTTTTTTAAAAATTTCCTTGGCCAGAACTTCTTCCGTTCTGCGTACTGTAAGCAAAAAAGGTTTTCTGATCTCCTCCTTACGTACTCTGATTTTGGTGTACTAGGAGTCTTTATATATAGTATCATAACCCAGATAGATACACTTATTACTGATATCTCTTAAATTCTATAGCTTTTTGTATCATTACCTTTGAATTTCATACTCAAAGATTAATTACATGGGGTGTAGATCAAACTGCAGGCAAGAAACTGTTCAGTTATTTTTGTAAGATAGCAAATGTCGTTGTAAAATAGCATTTGTTTCTGAAACGTTCCTATCTGTAACAAGTAGTGTCATAAAGTTTCTTAAAAATATTTTCATGCTGTAAAAGTTAAATAAGGAGGAACCGAGCATGTTAAAATTCCTGGAAGTGAAATATTAGTCACTGTTGCATAATGTCATGAATACCCATTAATTTTACTTTCTAATTGCTTGTACATCATACTATAAGGATAACGTTCTTCTTGCTGCCTGTGCAGAAACACTTAGGCCTTGCTGAAATAGCGTTCATTATTGATTTCTCAAAACTGTATTGTGTGCACATTGGGACCAGGTGTGCTGTCTTTGAGGAGAGCGTACATGCTGTGGACTTCAGTGCAATGTAATTTAAACTACCAATACTGATCTTTTTCACTTACTAAACAGTGTGGTAGAACATTCTGGACCTGCAGTTCACCATCCACTGTTATTTTTTCCAGGAAAATTCTGCAGACATAAAGCAAGCAGCTGTCCTAGACATAATTTGTAAGTAAAAAATGAATAAAAATAACATCTTCATACTTTTTCTGAGTAACTTGATAATGCCCTTAATTATATAGCGATTGCCCTAGTGAGGTATAGATGCATTTGGTGTAAACAGATTACATTTCAGGTGATGAGTCTCATTGGATCTAACATTTTTTTAAAAAAATTTCAAAAGCTGAAAATCAACAAAAGCATGTTTGCTTCTTCTGAGGTCTAAACAGATGTAAACTGTGGTAAGCCACGTCTAGCACACAGTTATAAATAGAGAGAGGTATGTTTGTCTCCAGTATGCACCAAACCCTAAAATCAGTAATATCGTGCTCCAATAGGGAGTGACATGGGCAAAATTATCGGCAAATACTCCAGGTGGAACTCTAACTCCAATATTGATTAATAACTTGATTAAATAATAGTTTAAATCTCAAGGTTTCTTTTAACAGTCTACACATCTTAGTTTGAGTTTAGACAGTTATGGTCATTTTAGGTAAAATCCTTCTTTAAACATTGAACCTCAGATACACCCTTTATTAGTTGCTTAAGTGAATTAAAAAATATCTTCCCATCTCTTTTATTAAAAAACTTATTTTGCTTTTAGGTTTATTATGAGTGGTAGTTTAAGAATGCTGAATAAATTACATTGCGTTATCAGAAGTAATCTTTTTTTTAAATAACCTGGTCGTAAAAGTATTGTAAAAATATTTGTCCCTTTGATTAGAAGAAATGAATTTTCTTTGGCCAGAACACAGCGTCAAATAGCAGTTTGTAGTCTGGAAAATGTAAAGCTGAGCTGGTAATACCATCAATTTTGTCTGATTGATAGGAGTGCAGGATCGACCCTTACTGAGTATGGAAGTACATGTTTTGAGCTCTAAGTTGCACAAGGTAGATAAAAGCTCACTGTGTTAAACCTTTAAGAAATGGGTGTATTTCTAAAGTGTAAAATAAAGGCATTGACTGAGATGTCCACTCATTACATAGTGCTAATTTAAATCTATTTGGTATGAGTAATGATAGCAGTAGTTTATATCTTTTAGACTTTTCAGGTTTTTTAAAAATTTCCTTGGCCAGAACTTCTTCCGTTCTGCGTACTGTAAGCAAAAAAGGTTTTCTGATCTCCTCCTTACGTACTCTGATTTTGGTGTACTAGGAGTCTTTATATATAGTATCATAACCCAGATAGATACACTTATTACTGATATCTCTTAAATTCTATAGCTTTTTGTATCATTACCTTTGAATTTCATACTCAAAGATTAATTACATGGGGTGTAGATCAAACTGCAGGCAAGAAACTGTTCAGTTATTTTTGTAAGATAGCAAATGTCATTGTAAAATAGCATTTGTTTCTGAAACGTTCCTATCTGTAACAAGTAGTGTCATAAAGTTTCTTAAAAATATTTTCATGCTGTAAAAGTTAAATAAGGAGGAACCGAGCATGTTAAAATTCTTGACAGTGAAATATTAGTCACTGTTGCATAATGTCATGAATACCCATTAATTTTACTTTCTAATTGCTTGTACATCATACTATAAGGATAACGTTCTTCTTGCTGCCTGTGCAGAAACACTTAGGCCTTGCTGAAATAGCGTTCATTATTGATTTCTCAAAACTGTATTGTGTGCACATTGGGACCAGGTGTGCTGTCTTTGAGGAGAGCGTACATGCTGTGGACTTCAGTGCAATGTAATTTAAACTACCAATACTGATCTTTTTCACTTACTAAACAGTGTGGTAGAACATTCGGGACCTGCAGTTCACCATCCACTGTTATTTTTTCCAGGAAAATTCTGCAGACATAAAGCAAGCAGCTGTCCTAGACATAATTTGTAAGTAAAAAATGAATAAAAATAACATCTTCATACTTTTTCTGAGTAACTTGATAATGCCCTTAATTATATAGCGATTGCCCTAGTGAGGTATAGATGCATTTGGTGTAAACAGATTACATTTCAGGTGATGAGTCTCATTGGATCTAACATTTTTTTAAAAAAATTTCAAAAGCTGAAAATCAACAAAAGCATGTTTGCTTCTTCTGAGGTCTAAACAGATGTAAACTGTGGTAAGCCACGTCTAGCACACAGTTATAAATAGAGAGAGGTATGTTTGTCTCCAGTATGCACCAAACCCTAAAATCAGTAATATCGTGCTCCAATAGGGAGTGACATGGGCAAAATTATCGGCAAATACTCCAGGTGGAACTCTAACTCCAATATTGATTAATAACTTGATTATATAATAGTTTAAATCTCAAGGTTTCTTTTAACAGTCTACACATCTTAGTTTGAGTTTAGACAGTTTTGGTCATTTTAGGTAAAATCCTTCTTTAAACATTGAACCTCAGATACACCCTTTATTAGTTGCTTAAGTGAATTAAAAAATATCTTCCCATCTCTTTTATTAAAAAACTTATTTTGCTTTTAGGTTTATTATGAGTGGTAGTTTAAGAATGCTGAATAAATTACATTGCGTTATCAGAAGTAATCTTTTTTTTAAATAACCTGGTCGTAAAAGTATTGTAAAAATATTTGTCCCTTTGATTACCGTTTGATAATGCCCTATGTTATTGAGCAATTCCTATGTTTCTTAGATAACCACATCTACCCAAACAAAAGAGTGTGGAGTGTTTACCAGATGAACAAAACAGGTAAAATGCTTTTCCTTGCTGTAATCTCACAGTTCTCAGCAACTTACTGCAGTGCTGCCTCATATCATATATTTTAAACACAAATATAGCCTAGTATGGATTTTTTCAGTAGAGATATCTTTAATGTTTTTAGAATACTTTTAATTATCTTCTCAAGCAATTATTAGAAATTAGTAACTACTAATTAAATATAAACTTTTTCTCTATACAGCAATAATAAGGCTCAAATTTAACATACAGCTTTTCATATAAGGCTATGCAACTTCAGCTTTTTCTGCTTAATTTTTTTTCAGCAAAACTAAAACCATCTCTGAACTAGTTCTTGTAACCCAATTCTAGTTGTTTGTTTTTCTTGTGTAACAGGGGAAGAAACGGAATTTTTTGACTTAACAGATTTCAAAAAAAAATTTAAAAGACGACTTCGGTCAGCCTTGAAAAATGTAAGAATAAATCCATTCTAAATTTATTACACAGCTCTGGTGTCAATAGATTGTTTTCATAACTTTAGCGAGGTATTTTTTTTCTTACAGTCTGCATCAAAAATTAAATGGAATTATTCATTTGGGAATGGTAGGAACTGCATTTGAAACAGCAAAAATGTATTGCCTGTCTGTTCTAGCAACTTTACAATTATGCTGGAGTGAAATAAAATTTAAGTTTGCCTTAAAATATGACAGGCTTCAAGAAAGACAGTATGTTTATGTTTTCTATCAAATCTTTGCCCTATTTGAGTGTACATGTTGTCTAGGTAAGTTGATACTGCTTTGTCCTGTTACCCAGTAACAATACACAAACAACAAAAATCAGATCAAGCAGAGTATAGAGGGAATTTGAAGTAGCCAGTAAGTAGGACAAGGAAGTTCAGTTCTTATGACTTAGGTTAGTAGCAAAATTGTATCCATTTCCTTTTAGTTCTGGTTTGAAATGGTATTTTGTGGTGGCTGTGAGAACTTGGCCCTGGTATTTCATTACATTATAATGACTGAAAGACCACTGTTGATAGCAAGAAGCAGTTTCTGGACTACAGAAATGAGCATGGTAAGAAAAAAATGGAAAGGAGGTACTACCATCTCACTCTTTTTACTAAGCATTTTGCAGAAGCCTTTTCTTGCTTAGCTCACCAGCTTCATTTAAGCAAGGTAATAGAAAATGCCTCTGTCTAGTTAGCTGTGTCACTTCTTGATGCACAAAGGATTCCCAGTGACAACTATAGAGGGCAACAAATACAAATCAGACTAACAGATAATCAGCTGCAGTTCATATAACTGTATTACAATAAAGTTTTGCGATATTTTCATTTAAAAAAAAAAAAAATCCACAAAAACTTTGAGGAGTGATGTTGGTCCAGCAATTTAAACAGTTTATGGCCTAGTTGGACTAAAAGTTTGACAACATGTGCCTCAGTCAAAGGGAGGGTTGGTTTTTTTAAAGGATGTTTTCCCACTCTTAAGTCACCCAGATTGAGTCAAGGTAAAAAGAAGTAACCGAGGAGGAAAGGTAATCTTCTTCAAATTTCTGATTGTGTATTCTTGAGCAGTGATAAATACTATATTCAGGTCTAAAATCACAAGTTGATCAAAAGTTTAGTCTCTTAAAAATTGGACATATTTGAAATATTGCCTCTAGCCCTCCATCTAAATTGACACCTTTTTGTTGTGTTGTTATTTTCCCAAAAGAGAGAATCAAGGCTTTTGTAATAAGCTATTTTTATTTTCACCCTTTAGAAGAAAATGTACATCAACAGGAACAAAAGTTGTATTACAGTTTGAAAGGCAATTCTTCCCCCCCCCCCCTTTGGAAGGTTATTGTTTTTCTGTGGAAATTCAATTTAAATACAATTCTGACCACACTAGTGGGATTTGTTTCTTATTCAAGCAGTGGTGTACTAAATTATGTTTGGGTCTTGTGAACACAGGGTTAAGAGATAACAAAGTCTTTCTGGACACCTGAATGTGCTGGTAAACCAAAGCTTTTCTTTTTCTATTAGGTCACCATCAACTTTAGAGAATATGAGGATAATGCAGTCTGGATTAGAATTGCCTGGGGAACACCATATACAAAACCAAACCAGTACAAAACCAGCTATGTTGTATACCATTCACAGACTCCCTATGTCTTCATTTCTGTCTCAGTGCTTAAGAGCAACTTGCCTCTGCTATGTCAGGTACAGAATAAAATGTGTAGACCCTGACTTCACCGCAGTCACATAGAGCTATAATTTTGTTAGCTTTTAAGAGGATGGGTAAAGATTTGTTACTTAATGTAATTTACTAATTTACGTAGTCTTTTTTTCCCTTAGCTCGTGATAAAAATGGGGCAAAAAACAATCTTTGTGACCTTTGGAATGGTGCATTGTGAATAAATTCAGTTTATTGGGATTTTTGCTGACCTTGAATTGTTCTAATTTCTTAACCAAGTGTTAGGCAGTATTCAGTTGAATTATCTCATAGAAATTGAAGAATATTACATCAGCACAGTTAACTTCAAGAGCTAAATGTATGAGCTCATCAGGGAATGCTATTAATTAGTTTTAAAAGACATTTTCTGTCAACTCGTGATCAGCATTGGTAATCCTTCATTTTTTTCTCTATTTAGCAGACTTCTGTACTAGTAATTTAATTATTTTATTAATCTGTTTATTTATTAATTTTTCAGCTGATAATGCTGTAGAGCTTATCTGGTTAATCCTGTGAATGCTTTTAAATATTAACCTAAGCTTAGTAACAGTCTATTCAACATTTTTTCAGACGTGAGAATCCTGCTAGTTAAAGGGCAGTTGCTTACCTTGAAACAAAACCATCGCAATGTCTAGAAATACTATATTTTTTTCCATATTACAAACACAGTGATGATTAAGACTGATGTTAAAACAATTTCGATTTTTATTTAAAGGCCCTGGTTGTTGCTTCCAATTACCACGACATCCATGAAATGGAGCTTCGAAGTCATTCTTTAAACTCCCTTAAAGATATTGTGTTTAAGAGATATAGCCAGGTGAGCCACTTCACAAGTACATCCTAAGATAAGTCTTGCTTTTTGTTTCAGGCCTAGTTCTCACCCCCTAGCAGGGGGGAAAATTCACCTCTTCCAAGAGACCATCAAGTTAAAATAATATTGAGCTACTGAGGTGGACAGCCTTTCATTAAGGTAACATTACAATGGGGATGTAATTACTTGGTATCCCACCTACTCTTTAGTATTGTTATTCCTGATGGTTAAACTCAGTCTAAAAATTGTATGAACAATTCAGTCCTAGGATTTTTTAAGCATCATTTCACTAGGCTTCCTAGAGCAATGACTTGAAGACTATTAGAATGGGCATTTACTCTGCTCGTCCACATAAAACTTGTAAACAGGGCAATGTTCACAAATATCATAGGACGGGCATTCTTTTCTCAAAATAAAGCTGGGCTTTCTGACTTCCAGTAACTGTCAAAAATTGCAATACTTACTTTCAGAATGAGAAGTAAAAAGACTTACTTTCAGAATGAGAATTAAAAAGAAATCTGGAAGGTTCTTTTCAGCTACAGCGTCTAAAAGTGGAAGTGAACTAAAATCTTTTTTTTTTTCTCTCTCTCCTTTTAGAACTTCCAAACTTACTATCCGAGACCTCTACAAGAAAGGAACGTGGCACCAGAAAATGGTATGTATATTTTAAATTAAACGGCAGTTTGAATGGTGTTACTGCTGGCTTCTGAAATGAGATTTGTAATAGGAAATGTACATATGTTACATTCACATTATATTATCCATCCCTGGTGGGGTGCCATAATACTGGCTATCACTAGGAGAGGTAAATATTTCCTCATGACTGTCACTGGACACAGTTACGAAACCAAAAATACCCAATGCCCAGTATCTCCTTTCATATTAACTTGGGCTTTTCTCCTGGTAAGAACTGAAAATAGAAATGATGGAGACAACTAGCTTATGGAAAAAAAGATCGTGATGAATTCTTTAAAATTGTTATTTTCAGATTTTCACTGGAGTAATCACCTGATGAGAAAAACAGCATTGTATCAGCTGACAAAGTTGTCTTTGTTTTTTCTCATCTCTTCCCTACTCTTTTCCCCTGCAGGGGATTTAAGGATAATTCAAGAAAACAGAAATGAGAAAGAAAGAATACAGAGAGTGAATCAGGAAGTTTTTGGTGATGGTCCCCAACCAAAACTCGAATTTGCACAATACAAGGTAGTAAAAGCAACAAACTTTTTTGTTTTGTTTTGGGTTTTTTGGTAATTTTAAAGTAGTGGTAGCTACATGAAATTGCAAATTGAAGAAATATTAGATTTTTTTTAAAACTTTAGGGAGGACATTTTAAAATAAATAGTTTAAAGTATCTTTAAGAAACAGATCTGCATTGAGATTTGGTCAGACTACTAGATCATGTTTCAGTCTTTCAGCCTTGTGAACTAAGCATTTTGACTTGTTTTTGTAATAAAGGTAGACTTAGACCAGCAGTGTGTTGAAGCATGAGCAATTAGGGTTATTTGAAGTACATACAAAGCTCACGCTACGTATAACACCATAATTTAACTTCTTGGATGCTGCACGGATTTTATCTGATGAACAGATATATTGGAAATTCTAAGAGATACTTAATGTTTTACAATATTACTGAACAAGTTGCCTGTTTCAGCAGAAAACTGTTTACCACATGGTGGCACCCTCTGATTTTATTAAAATATTCCTCCAGCTGGAATCATGTTAATGTTACAAATAATAGACGAATAAGATACAGTCTTATTACATATTACATTTTTAATGTAATGTTTAAATAATAACCTATAAATAAAATATATTCATTGCTTATACTCCCTGGTTAAATTTTGTGTTAACAGCTTGAGACAATGTTTAAAAGTGATCCTAAAATGGATGTTTTGGATGAAAAAGAACCATTCAGATGTCTGGTCAAGTTTTCTAGTCCACATCTTTTAGAATCGCTGAAATCCTTGGCACCAGCAGGTATTTGTTCCAACTCCATACAAGGGAGGAAAAATCCGCAGTTAAGTTTGTCATCTTACATTCTGCTTGTATCTTGCGCAAGGGAGAACCTTCATAGTTTGTTTAGAAATACGTAGAAATTCAATAGAATAAAAATGTTACCACTATAAAATCTTATGCCTAAATACATACCAGTTTATTCTTAGAATTACTAGTTTGTACATAGATACTCAAGTTGTGTTTTTAGTTTTATAACAGTTATGAAAGGTAACTATTGGTTGAGTTAAGCTATAATTATCTGTCTCTCTCTCTCCAGGTATGGCCGATGCACCACTTTCACCACTACTTACATGTATACCACAAAAAGCTAGGAATTATTTTAAAATTAGAGAGAAAAAAGGTTTCTTTCCTGAAAGATTTGTAAGCCCTTAATTTAAAACTGATTCATGGAGAAATATACAATTCATTTATTACTGGTATTAATCTAAATCTTCATAAACTTTTAAAACAAATTTTTAAAAATTAACTTGTTCTTTGATAATACCTTAAAGTTTTTTCTGAATTATGGCTTCTTTGAATTATTTTTCCACATTTGTCTTTAACAGAAGAGTTAGCCCTTTCCTTAAATAATAAAAAACCACTAGTTGCAAAGTTTAAACAGAGATCATGGTTATTTTACATGTAAATGTGATGACTGCTCCTAACTGTATTTTTAACAGTATTTGTGAAATTAAAGCTAGCTAAAGCTTAATAAAGATACAATAAGACAGCTGTAGCTATTCAGTTTACTGTCATACCTGTAGATGGCTAAGATGTTCTAGGTGGCCGCCTTATTTTGGCTCCAGTTCAGCAGTGTAACCGAATACGTGCCCCATTTTGAACATGTGAATAGTCCCATTTAAATAAGTGGGGCTACCCGTCTGCAGGTCAGGCGTGTTTTTGTCTTAGTAGATTAAGATTATATTCGAAGACCATTACAGGGCATGGGGAAGAAGGGACTCTCGGAATAGAGATGTCAGTAAGAAGTTTCCATCCAGCTTTAATGGATATTAATTCAGATCCAGTGTTTTTACTCACCAAGGGCAACAGCCAATAACAAATACTTAAATAAAAAAATCCTCTGTCCATTGGCATTAATGTCTTATGAAGTTTTATCTTAGAGGAATACAATGAAACAGGCAATAATTTTCTTTTGAGGAAGTCCATGTTTTAGAATATTTCAGTTAAGATTTGATCCTTCTGCAATCCTTGCACACTACCACTTTTTTGTGCTTGGGGACATAACGATTGCAGAATCAAGATGGCAGCATTCACTAATGCAAAACAACAGCTTTGCACTGGGGTTCTTTAGAGTTGGTAAATTGTAATTGGTAATTATATAGATATCTTTATGTAACTTGTTGTATCTTTTTAATTTGAGATGGATTTCATCTGAAGATTCAGTTACAGTGTACACGTGTTTCCTTTTTAATCCTGTTACCTGGAAACTTTGTGCATGTAACTTGTATATATGGAATTCCCGATTCACTTTCAGTATGTCAGTGTGCAGAGACAGTCTTCATAACTTCATGGCATGGTGTAAATATTTCGAGAGGTTGTATGGGAATGTTTTTGTTTTTCAAACTGTAAATAAATGTGTAAATTAAGTCTTATAGAAGTTTGTTTGCCCTGACTTAGAAACATGACTTAACATCTACTGATTTTTGGTTTGTTCTGTTTTTCGGCATCACTGTACAACGCACACATAAAAAGAAATTAGCTTAGGACTATCTGCTAGTGATACATTTTTAGGAATTCCACCTGTGTGCTTTAAATGTTAGTTTGACAAAATACTAATGTCAGGATTCTGAAACAATTCTAGCTTTTGTGTGATACACAAGGTGTCTGATAGACATTAAGTGTTGGCGCTCTCATTCCTGCCCTCATAGAGCCTTCCAGGAGTCAGACCCGTTAAGATTCCAGTACGCATTTCACTCTGTGCAACTTCTTCTTCCTAATGCTCTCTCCCAAATAACTTAAATGCCTGAGACGATAATGATTTACCATAAAGGTGAAGTTTCAAAACACTCTAAAACATTGTGAGTACCTGGCCTTCTGCCTGTCTCTGCCTCTTGTTTCCGGGAAAGGCAGTCTCCATTCATCTTTTAACAACCGAAAAGTTGGTGTCTGATTTTTCAGATATACATTTAATCTCCAACTTCCTGTAACCAAGGCTATTCTAGGAACTACACAGCAGTTCCAGGCAAGCAGGCATGTATTTATTAATCACAGCAGAATGCGTGGAGGTGAGAGGACAGGGGCTGTCCAGTGAACACAAGGTCTTGACACGTCCTGGGAGCTGCGCCCATCACCTAACTCTTCCCCAGTTAAGGGTGGGCTCCGCATTGGTGATGTATGTTTTTTCCTTTAGCTGGCCAAGCGTTAGGGGAAAAACTCCTGTGTATTATCATTGCTTCTTTAAAATGCAGGCCTACATCAGTAAATAAATGCAAAATACCCGGTCGGTGGAGGAGATGCCCCATCTACCCGTGGGAGGGCAACGGGGCGAAGGCTGGCACGGGCGCTTTTTCACACGCTCTGGCTCCATGTACTCCGGTATCGGTTACACCATCTTTCTCTTTTTTTTTTTTTTTTTTTTTTTGCCGAAGAACGGCT